TGTATATCCAACAAAACTATACTTCAAAATGAGGGTGAAATTAAGCCAGACTACTCTTAGAAAAAAATGGACTTTAAAACACAAATTATTATTAGAGACAAAAGAGGACATTCTGTAAAGGGCCAATCCATTAAGAAACTATAATCATTACAGACACAGATCACCTACCAACAGACCCCAAAATACATTCAAAATACACTCCATCCAACAAAACCCTAATACACATTCTTCGCTCAAATGCACATGGAAATTCTCCAGGAATAGATCATATGTGAGGCCATAAAACAAGTCTCAATACATTTTTATTTATTTATTTTTTAAAATATGGAACACTTCACAAATTTGTGTGTCATCCTTGCACAGGGCTAATCTTCTCTGTATCATTCCAATTTTAGTATATGTGCTGCTGAAGCAGGCACATTCTCAATACATTTTTAAGCAATGAAATCATACAAAATATATTCTCTGACCACAACAAAATCAAATAGAAACCAATAACAGTAGGAAATTTGGGGAAATCACAAATAGTGGAAATAACACACCCTATAACCAACAGGTCAAAGAGGAAATCAAAAAGAAAATTATAAAATACTTTTAGATGAAATAAAATGAAGACACAGCAGACCAAACCTCATGGGATGCAGATTAAGCAGTACTTAGAGCTAAATCTTTAGTTGTAAATGCTTATAAAAAAAAAAAGAAAGGTCTCAAGTCAATCATCTTTTACTTTGAGAAACTAGGAAAAGCTGAATAAAGGGAAACTAGGAAAAGCTGAATAAACTAACCCCAAAATAAGTAGAAGAAAATAAGGATTAGAAAGGAAATTAATGAAGGATGCCTGGGTGGCTCAGTCAGTGGACATCCCACTTTAGCTCAGGTCATGACCTCATGGTTCATGGGTTTGAGCCTGCATTGAGCTCTGTGCTGACAGCTCAGAGACTGGAGCCAGCTTCAGATTCTGTGTCTCCCTCTCTTTCTGCACCTCCCCTGCTTGTCCTATGTCTATTTCTCTCTACAAAATAAATAAACATTAAAAAATATTTTTAGAATGGAAATTAACGAAATGCAGAATACCAAAGCAAAGGAGAAAAAAATCAGCAAAACTGGAATTTGGGTTTTTTAAAAGATCAACAAAATTGGAAAATTTTTAGCTGGGCTTACCAAGAAAAAAAATAAGATTCAAATAACTGAAATCAGGAATGTAAAAGGGGGTCTACGGCCATACCACCCTGAACACACCCGATCTCATCTGATCTCAGAAGCTAAGCAGGGTTGGGCCTGGTTAGTACTTGGAAGGGAGGAATGTTAAAGGGGACATGGGTACCAACCTTACAGAGATAACAAGAATTAATGAGAATATGGTAAGTAACTATTTACCCATCAGTTAGACAACCCTGGTGAAATGGATGAATTCTTAGATGAAAACTATCAAAACTGATATAAAAATAAAAAGAAAATCTGCATAAAACTATAACAAGTAAAGAGGTTGAATTAGTAATCAAAAAAATTTCCCACAAAGGAAACCCCAGGACCAGTTGACTTCACTGGTAAATTCTACCTAACACATAAAGAAAAGATAAAACCAAATCTTCATAAATGCTGCCCAAAAGTAAAGGAATACCTGCCTACTCATCCTAAGAGGACAGTATCATCCTGACATGCAAATCAGAAGAGACAAGCCAATAAAACTACAGACCAATATCTCTTATGAACATAGATGCAAAAATCTTCAACAAAATACTAGCAAACTGAATCTAGCCACATATAAAAATGATTATATACCATGATCAAGTGGAACTGATACCAGAATATAAGGCTAGTTCATTTGAAAATCAATTAATTTAATACCCCATGTTCATAAAACAAAGGGCAAATCCAAATTAATATCTCCACAGAGGCAGAAAATCATTGACAAAACCCAGCGTTCTTTCATGAGAAAAAGAATACTCAATAAACTAAGTCTAGAAGGTAATTTCTTCAACCAGATAAAGGCCATCTAAGAAAATCCCATAGCTAACCGTATAACTAACGATGAAAGACTAAAAGCTTTCCCCAAAAGATTAGAAATAAGAAAAAAATGCCCAATCTTGCCACTTCGATGTAAGACTTTACTCAAGATCCTAGGCAAGAAAAAAAAAATCCAGATTGGAAAGAAAGAAATAAAACCATCTCTAGTCACGGATCGTGTGGTCTTATATATGGAAAATCTTACAGAATCTAAATATTTTATTACAGCTAATAAACAAGTCCAATTATTTTATTGCAGAAATAAAATAGCAGTATAAAAAATCAATTGTATATCTACATGCTAGCAAAGCATAACCTGAAAATGATATTAAGAAAATAATTACATCTACAATAGGACCAAAAAGAATAACATATTTCAGGATAAATTTAACAAAAGAAATACAGTATTTATAAAGTGAAAACTATAAAATGTTGTTGAAAGAAATTAAAGATCTGAATAAATGGAAAAACATCCCATCAAATTAAAAGCTTTTGTGCTTCAAATGACACTATCAAAAAGTGAGACAATAACCCACAGAATGTGAGAAAATATTTGCAAATCATATACCTGATAAGGGGCTTGTAATGCAGAATATGTGAAGAGCTCTTAGAATGATAAAAAATAACCCAGTTAAAAAATAGGCAAAATATTTCTCCAAGGAAGATATACAGGGGCGCATGGGTGGTTCAGTCAGTTAAGCATCCAACTTTGGCTCAAGTTATGATCTCATGGCTTGTGAGTTTGAGCCCTGCGTCCGGCTCTGTGCTGACAGCTTAGAGCCTGGAGCCTGTTTTGGATTCTGTCTCCCTCTCTTTCTGCCTCTCCGCCACTTGTGCTCTCTTTCTCTCTCTCTCTCTCTCTCTGTCTGTCTCTCTCTGTCTCTCTCTCTCAAAAGTAAACATTAAAAAGAAAAAGAAGGTATACAAACAGCCAGTAAGCACATGAGAAGATACTCAACACCATTAGTCATTAGGGAAATGCAAACCCAAACCACAAAAAACCATTCCACCCCCCTTAGGATAGCTATAATAGAAAACACAGATAAATACATGCATTGGCAAGGACATGGAGAAATTGGAACCTATAAACAATGCTGGTAGGAATGTAAAATAGTTCAGTTGGTTTGAAGAACAGCTCTTCAGAAGTTAAACATTGAATAAACTATGATCCAGCAATTCTACTACTAGGTATATATCCAAGAAAACTGAAAACATATGTCCTCACAAAAAATTGTATATGACCGTCCATAACAGCATTATTCATAATAGGCATAAATGTCCATCAATTGATAAATGGACATTCAAAACGTGGTGTATATCCATACAGTAGAATATTATCCAGTTATAAAAAGGAAATGAAGGAGGCACCTGGGTGGCTCAGTCGGTTAAGTGTCTGTCTTCAGCCTAGGTCATGATTGCACTCTTCCCGAGTTAGAGCCCCGCATCAGGCTCTGTACTGACAGCTCAGAGCCTGGAGCTTGTTTCAGGTTCTCTCTCTCTCTCTCTCTCTCTCTCTCTCTCCTTCTCTGCCCCTCCCCTACTCACATTCTGTCTCTCAAAAATAAATAAACATTTAAAAAAGGGAATGAAGCATTAATATCTGCTAGAATATGGATAAACTTGGAAAGCATGCTAAGTAAAAGAAACCATACACAAAAGGCCACATGTATGATTCTATTTATATTAAATGTCTAGATAGGCAAATACAGAGAGACCGCAAGTAGATTTGTGTTTGCCAGGAACTGGGAAGAGAGGAGAAGGAGGACTACTAATGAGTACAGGGTTTCTTTTGAGGCTGATGAAAATGTTCTCAAATAAGATAGTGGTGATGATCGCACATCTCTGTGATATATTAAAAATCAATGATTTGCACATTTTAAATGGTAGGTTTTATGGTGCGTAAGCTAAATCTCATTACAAAGGAAAAAATGACCTATCTTCGATTTGTATTATACTATCTTATGATCTATAAGCCCCTAGAGTACTGAACTGGAGCTAATTGAAAATCCTCAGTGAAAGAAGTCTGAAGTCTCCAAGGTCTTTTCTAACACAAAGATTCTGAGATCCTAGGAAGGAAATCCCCTTCCTCTCCTACTCGTCTCTTCCAACACACTCACCCATTAATAAGAAACATTCAGCCATGACAGCTGGGCTATCCTTTCTGGACAAGAAGAGATGGGCTTTGTAGGGTGGCTGGCTAATGGAAAAAGAACAGAAAAAGAAGTGGACCAACCCGAGAAATGATTGTACTGACTGGAATCCTCAGAGACTGGAATCATCTTACCAAGCCAGTTTCCAAGTCTGTGAGGTTTGTGAGTGGGGGATTGCCTCTACGTGGTCCTGATTCTGTCCAATAGAAAGTTCAATAGATGTGCACGGAACACCTACTCTATACTTCCAGTCCTTGGTACATGCTTTTTCCTCTGGCAGCACAGGACTGGTGTCCATACTGCTGCCTTTTTTCAGTCCCCTTTAAAGCTGGAGTCTCTTACTCCCATCTACAGGCCACCCCTCAATCTGATGCTTTTCTCAGCTATCTAACTACATGAGATGACCACCTCCCAACATGGCCACCCCACCGGCAAGGGTCCAGGGATGGGTTCAGAGAAGATAGTAAGGAAAAGCACACCATGCCAGTGCTACTCCAGAGAATCTGCATCTTCAAATGCTTCAAGCAGCATGCTCATTGGATGGATAGTCAGATGACCATCCCACTCCAGAGACAGCACCCATAGGCACCAAGCTCTACACCCCCGGGACGGGAGCATTTCCCCCCAGACATGGTTGCAGAAGTCTGACTGAGAATATCATGTACAACCCCTTACAATACGGAGGCCACCCATCTCTCTGTTTAACTTAGCTTCTGAAATCATTCTTGATAATGAGATCTGCCAAACCTCTATTTTATTTCCTGCTGTACAGTAGATTAAGGAGTAAAGTCCACTGTGAGAGCCTGTAAAATGAAGGTGACTATGATCAAGAGTAGCCATTACCTGGAATATGACTTGACTTGGTTCTTGGCCTTCAAAAATAGAAAATGTCATGGGTTGCAGGGGTCCACTAAACTTCCTTTCTTGGCCATATCCAGTTGTCTGTTAGAAAAGGAAACAAAAAAAGAAAATTGGCATACCCATCATTATGAATATATATGTGCCACTTGCTAATTTTATTATGGCTTCTAGGACTGATATCCTAGCTCAGAACAATGCAAAGTATAATCAAAACAGAAAGAGATCTGATATTGTTGAGTTTCTACTATATCAAGATGGCTCACCGTGAGTATTGCACTATTTTTCTCCTTCAACCATTCAAGCAATCTCCCTGTGGAGAGAATATTAACACTCCCATATTACAATTGAGGCTCACAGAGGTGACACTACTTGCCCACAGTAAATTCCCTAAGTGGTTGACAGGGAACACACACTAGGCTCTAACTGAACAAAAGCTTCTATCTGCCCACAATGCCACTCTGCCTTCTAAATACAACATAGTGTTAAATCAGCTTCTTAAAACACCTCTCCTCCACTCCTATTAATTTAGAAGGACATTTATGGCAGATTCCCAACACCCTAGAGTTCATGGTCACTTCAAGGACAACTAAATTTATAAGGGAAAAAAATACATAGATGTGTTGAGTACAGTGCTTGCTTGGTACATAGGTACATGGTAAGTAGTCAAATTTGAATCTGAATTTGAACTGTAACTTCAAGAAAAGCTTATTTTAACATTTGATTAGCAATTCATGCTCATATAGGGGAAAAAAGAACAAAATGTTTACTTCAAGTAGTAGCCCTAAGATGTTTCTAAAACCCAAAGACCCTGAACTTAACAGACAAGCAGCCTCTGCAGACACCCAAATGCAGGCTGGAAGAGCAGTCGGTGGTGGCGGGATAGTCAGAAGAGAAATTAGTTATTGGCCAAGCTCAGTCCTAAGAACAGTTAATCCTGACAACCACCTGGGGACAAATTATTACTGTTAGCTCCGTTCTACAGGTAATGAGACTAAGAAGCTGAGAGGGTAAGCAGTTTGCCCAGGTGCTGACAGGAAGCAGGATTCGAACCCACTGCAACTCTGCAATGGCTGCCCTCAGCTGCTATGCCCTACTTCCCACCAGAGGGAACAAAAAAGGGCCGAGAAGACCTGATGGAAAACAGGCGACATCAAAGATGTACAGGGCGTGTGACTCCCACCATTCCCAACCCAGAAGGATGGGGGGCATCCAGCACCAAGCCGTGCCATCCCTCCCTCTCCCACCACACTGTCCCTCTAAAGCAAGACAGAGCATGACAGGTGACACACAGAGGGATAGCCGGCCATCAACCCACCCACAGAGGGCGCCCTCTGGAGTGAGGGATTTAGCACCCATACCCGATGCTTCTTGTGTGGTTCTTCAGGTCTACTTGTGCAGAAATCAGGGGCGGGATCGGTTAGGATGAGAAGTATAATATGAGGAGTTGATGGTTTGAGGAGCTGGAGAGGTAAAGCCAAGAAAGTAAGAAGAGCCCGGGGGAAGAGAATTGTTCACCACTTCTTCAGGGAGAGCAAGTACAGTCTTGGGATGGACACACTGAGAATAAACCAAGAACAATCAGTATGATAGTTTGAGGGAAGGCCTTCCACTAGAGCCCTTGGTTCACTGACTCTTAATTAACTTGATACACGGTTGTCTGACAAATGAAAACAGAAGGCTTTGGAATTTGGTCTCCACTCCCTCAGAGTTGTGGCAGGCCCATGGAGTAGCTGCCCCCAGCCATTACCAACCTCTCTCCCTTGGGAAGCCAAGAGGTCGCTTTCCCAGACTCCCCTGCAGCCAGCAGGTCAGCCGAGTGACCCAGTCCTGGCTCCTGAAACAAAAGGTGAAGTCTGCTGGAGGACTTCTGGTCAAGCTTTTATTTTCCCAATGAAAAAGGACAGATATAGCTGGCATTGTCACCCCCCGCCCCATTGTTCATGCTCAGACAATGGGCCGCATGTCTATGGCTGTGGTGGCCAACATGAAACCATAAGGGGACACATCAGCTCAAATAATGGTGGGGCAAAGAGAAAGAAGCCCAAGTCTCTGACAACATCACAGAAATGCAAAAGCCTGCCTTGGGCCGTCCACTTCAGGCTTCTCCTTCTCTAAGGAAAATAAACCTCCACTTCCTAGAGCCACTCCAAAGTTGAACTTTCTATTGCCTGTGCTAAAAGCATCCTTAACTGACACCACGACATTATAGACTTCTAGCTCATCAGTTCCTTTAAAGGAATATCTCCCTTTGGGGTTCTTTCTCCCCTGCATTCCTTTCCCACATATCCTCCAGAGGGCAGGACCCAAGAACTGTGCGCAGATGTCCACGCACCGCCATGGTTGGTGCAAGATGAGAGCAGTGGTTTCTGCGGAATCATGACTTAACAGCAAACTGCCTTCATCAACTTTCTGCTCGTGTCAGCAAGCAGCCAGTCTTTCAGCAGCTCACACCAGCGATGGCATCCGGAGGAAACTCCCACTAGTCAGGCACACCTGGCAAATAAGCCTGTGTTCTTCCTACCAGGACAAGCTGGCTCACCTATCAGGACAGGAGGGTATATCTCAGTTGCAAGGTTCAAAGTTGGGTTCTCATAACAAGGCAGGAAGTCTCCCTTCGTGCCCATTAACACGGCTATTTGGGCTATAAAGATTTCAAAATGCATGTGCATGTTCTGAGTCATCAAGCCACACTGCCGGAACTGGGAAAGGTGGTACGGGGGAAACACGAAAGAAGAGGGTTCATGCAGGGGTGGGAGAGATTACAGCTACCATCCTGCACAGAGAGGTAAAAAGAAGGGAAGAGAATAGAACTGACAGCTTTTAATGTTTCCTGTACAGCAGCTGTGGGACTAGACCCTCCACACAGATCATTTCTTCTGCTCCTGAATAAGATGAGGAAAGTATGTCCAGAAAAGTCCCACAGCAGAGACACAGATAATGTGGAATGAAGCAAGCTCTGTGGCACCAGCAAGCCCCAACTCTGAGCTACGTTGCCACACCCTTTCAAAGGACACATGGGACTTCCAGGTTCCCCTGCCTGGTAGCCACCCTCGCTGTATTTCCAGCAAGAGTTCTCTGCAGTAATTATATAGTATTTATGCCAAATTCTCCTTCCTTCTAGAAAAAGTACAGTCCCAGTCAAGACTCTAAAATAGGTGGCTTCTCCTTGATTTCCCTACCGAACTATTCAGCATCCCTTCCCAAACCCTGGTCACTTACTTGCTTTCTCTTCAGTGCCCTTGCCATATATTCATGCAGTATTTCTTACCCCTTACGGAAACCAGTGCTCAGGAGAGAACATGAGAACCACTTGCAGTATGGAATAAAGGTGAGGGGCGCCTGGTGGCCCAGTCAGTTAAGCGTCTGATTCTTAATTTGGGCACAGGTCATGATCTCACCATTGTGAGATCAAGCCCTACATCAGGCTGAGCATGAAGCCTGCTTGGGATTCTCTCTCTCTCTCTCTCTCTCTCTCTCAAAATAAAATAAATAAACATTAAAAATATTTTTTTAAATGACTGGGGGTGGTGGGGTGGATGGTAGCAACTCCCTGTCCTTCACCTGACACAGCTGTGCATGTGGCTATCTCCTGGGCGAGGCTCTTGCTACCAGCAATGGTTTGGGCACTATTTCTAACTCTAGGTAGAGGTCCCCCCTGGGCTGAGAGTAGAGAGAAGGAAAACTTACAGCCAACCTTTTATCCAGGAAAAAAAATGCATGTCTCCTTCTCAGACAAGATAAGCCCGCTAATCTCAAATTATCGTGATAGAATCTTCTCTTAGATCTTGTTGTCTCCTAATATAAGTCCATAATTATGTACTTAATTTGTACCCTATTCCTGGCATAGTGCTACGTGCTGAGGCTGCAAAGATGCCTAAAAGATAGTCCTCCTTATGGAAGTCAAGGTCCATAAGAATGTAGACATTGAATACTTAAAATGCTGTAGTAATAATAATAGCTAATATTTATCCAGTACTTAGACTGTGCCCATCACTGACCAAAGGGCTTTGTATAAACGCACTGGCTCATTTAATTGCCACAACAACCAATAAGGCAAGTACTTTTATAAGACCCATTTCATGGGGCAGAAAACTGAGGTTCAGAGCTTAAATATCTCACCCAAGCTCCTATCACTAGGGAGGGGCAGTACCAATTTTGTACCTAGGTATGACTTCACTACCACCTTGTGATAAGACAGATAGCAAAGGGAATCGAACAGGGTAAAAAGAGGAGAGATGTCAAGAGGGGATGTTTGACCTAATCCAAGCAGTCCTAGTGTCTAGCTTTGAGCTTCCAGTCTGTGAGGAGGCACATTGCTCATAAAGTTTGAACTGCAACTTCCTCCCTCTCCCAGGAGGAAGGCTCTGGTAGGTTTACAAGTTCCGAACGTTGAGGACTCTAGGAGGCTCTCGGGAACTTAGAATTTGATGTTATTTTGGGGTCCCAGAAGAAAAGAACCAAGATTTGAGATGTGAGGGTCTAGTAATTTCCTTCTAAAGAGAAAGCAAATGCTTCCCCATAATCTTGCTTCATAATACAACAGATTGTTGGACAAGTGTATGACCTTTATGAGACTCATGAATAAAACAAAGATGGCACCCCACTGTCTAGCCAAGACTAAGGGCTGGATCTTTCCAGGTTTGATCCAGCTCCAACTTCTAGAAGTCTGTCAGTCCATAGGGTTGGCTCAACCAATGGCTAAAGACAACTTTGACCAGAAAACTCCAAACCATATGTAGGGGGGAAAAGTACAGAATAGAGCAGGGTTGAAAAAAGAGAAAATGCTTTTCTTAATATTTCCATGGTAATTTTTCATGGTCAAAGTTAAAAAAAAGTCAAGATTAAGGGGCACAGACTAATGTGTACATATATACATATGCTACACACATATAAATATATTTAATATATATACATTAATATATGTACTGTATACTTTTCTTTCCAGATTCCCTGAGCTATACATGAAGGTCTAAACATGCGTAGAAAGATTTGCTTTAAACCTTGCCCATGAAGTGGTATTGGTTTTTAAGAGCTGAGGAGAAATTACCTCCCTGGTTGAAGAGTAGACGTATGGCTTGTAACTATTTCATCGAAAATATCACATTGGGGCAAACTGTGCGTCCTTTGTATACAACTTAATTTTGATGGATTTTTTTTTAGGTGATGATAAAGAAAATATGAGGTAGAAAATATGCTAGCAAATAAATAAAGAACATCCTCTTCTCTTACCAAATAAAGTGCAAGGAGACACAAGCAATGGAGTTGGGCTTGCATCTTTGTGGTTTTCTGTATTGAAACTCCTGTGAATAAACCAGAGATAAAAATGATTAGTTACCAGTCGGTTAAAAACCACATATTTCCCACCAGAAAGGATCATGGGACAATATCGAGTCATAAACCTAGGAGAATGGGATTTCTAAAGGCCAGCTTCTTCTCTTTATGGAACAACCCAGTCTTCCAGAAGCTTTATGATACCTCATCCATAGCAACACACAAGTCAAAATCCCAAAAGCAGCTCATAGTAATTCCATTTCTTTAACTGTTTCACTTTATTATAATCTTCTCCATTTAAGGGTCTTTTTTTTTTTAATTTTTTTTAATGTTTTATTTATTTCTAGGAGAGAGAGAGAGAGAGACAGCATGAGCAGGGGAGGGTCAGAGAGAGAGGGAGTCACAGATTGAAACAGGCTCCAGGCTCTGAGCCGGCAGTCAGCACAGAGCCCGACGCGGGGCTCGAACCCACGAACCGCGAGATCATGACCTAAGCGAAAGTCGGACACTTAACCGACTAAGCCACCCAGGCGCCCCTCCATTTAAGGGTCTTAAATGGTAGAAAATAAGTATAGTTGTCACTTTTATTGTATCCATGGGAAAGATACATTTTGGCAAATTCCAGGATAACTAGATACTAAAATTTTAGTGGTTCTGATTCAAAGTTGCAAAGACATGAGATTCCTCAAGCAGAAAGAGCCCAAGAATGTTGACAGTCCTTCATTCAGAGACTTCACCAGCCACACTTTGGTCTTCTAACCATTGTTGCTAACTAGACAATATGCCTAAGGGAAAAGCATATTTCTTATTATTCCAAAAGCAACCAAATAAGATTCCAAACTCTGCCCTTACTCTCTTCTGTTCAGTATTATCATTCCTTTCTTGTGGCTTCACATTTTTTTATAATTATAACTTGCACCCTGAGACCCATCATGACTAACTGACTTTAAGATCTGATATGAATTTTCCACATGGACTTTAAAGCAGGGCTGTTGCCTATCATAATACTGGGCTGCTCAAACAAAACCAAAAAACTCGACGAAATGGAACATGTATCCATTTCACCAAAATTCCAGTGAATATACTCGCTAATATAGTCACCATGAAAACATGGTTACTGAAATTCTAACCACTCTAAAAATGTGGTCCCTGAAATTTTTAAATTTCTTACATTTGGATAGCTTATTTTGAACTTTAAAAAGGTAAATGTACTACCCATTTTAGCCTCACGAATGTCCTAGGAGATAAAGATGGAAATAAGCTTTATTAAGCATCATTCAGGAGGTAGATGGGGGGCGGGGCTTTACAAACAGTGTAACAGTGGTGTAGACAGTGGATTCCGAGTCAGAAAGCCTGTGAATTTCTCACAGACATAATGAGTTAGGAAATGTTCTACTTATTTTATAAATGAGGAAATGGAAGTTCAGAGTTAAGCAATTTGCCTAATACCTAGCTAGAAAGGGACATTGCATTGCTTCCAACCAGATCTGTCAGATCCCAAAGACCTAAGCCTATTCCAACTCTTTCTACTGTACCATATACAATGTGGGAGCTGCAGAGATACAGAGGTAGGCATAGAGATATGGAGACATACAAAATGTATACATTGTTTCTACATGTTAAATCAGTGAAGCAACTTTTCCCAAGATTCTACAGCTATTTTAAGGAACTGCTAGAATCAAAACGCTTCAGGACAGTCAGATTCATAAATTCTGTGAATGTTTAGAAATGAGCTTTTGCAACAGAATTAATTGGGTCGTTGTGTTCAAACATCATTTTAGAACTGGCTCATTATCTTAAACACAAACAAGACATTTTTCTACTGCTTTAGACTGCTTCTGTGGTTTGGAAACACATGGAAATAAATAACAACGCCAGGCTGTAGCATGTTGCAATATTAAATATATATATATAAATGAATCAATCGTTAAGTCTAACTAGGTTTGTTTTTTACATTGGAAAAATGCACATGTTCAGCTTTCACCAATATCTGTAAGAGCCTGGGTGTCTCATTTGGTTGGGTGTCCAACTCTTGGTTTCAGCTCAGGTCATGATCTCATGGTTTGTCAGTTCGAGCCCCACGTTGTGCTCCATGCTGACGGTGTGGAGACTGCTTGAGATTCTCTCTCTCTTCCTTTCTCTCTGCTCCTCCCCAACTTATGCGCGCTCTCTCTCTCGCTCTCTCGCTCTTGCTCTCGCTCTCTCAAAAAAAAGCAATAACAATTATTATTATAAAAAATATTTGTAAGAGAAGTGAAAATATACATGATAATGGCACACTTGGGGGTCATTCTCCACCAGCTCCTCAGCATTCAAGAGCTTTCAAATACTGGACCCACCTTACTCTTCTGGCCTTATCTCTCCCTCCCTTCCCACCCTCGGTGAAGCTGTCCACCACCGGGATGGACTCTGCACCCGAGATTCCCTGCCCCCACACTTCTGTGCTTACTGCCCTCCCCACCTGGCACAAGACCAGCTGCAATAAAGGGACAGACAATATTAGTGTCAGGAAGTTGGATTAAGATTCTCCTTCCTCACCTCTACTTGTACTACTTGTCATACCTTACCTCTAGTTCCAACTTTCATTTATTTTAAAAGTACTGGATTATTATAAAAAGCTTCTCACATGCCAGATACCATGCTAAGAACAGGATACCCAAATAAGGGGTACAGGGTCTGCCTTCACGGAGCTAGAAGCAAAATCCTAATTCCTTCATAAAATCTTCAGTGATTCCCAGCCAGAAGTATCTTCCTCTTGAAACCCCTCCTGCATTTTATTTACCATTAATTTATATATCTATGTTATTGCTTCTACTAGAAAGCACAATCCTTCAAGACAGAGGCCTAATTTTACTTTTTTAATTTTTTTATTAAAAAAATTTTTTAAATTATGTTTGTTTATTTTGAGAGAGAGAGAGAAACACACACACACACACAGAGTACCAGCAGGGGAGGGGCAGAGGGGCAGAAACAGAGGGAGACACAGAATCCGAAGCAGGCTCCAGGCTCGGAGCCATCAGCACAGAGCCGGAAGTGAGTCTCGAACTCACAAGCCGTGAGACAGTCAGTGACCCGACCCGAAGTCAGACGCTCAACCAGGCACCCTGAGGCCTAATAAAAAAAAAAAAAAAAATTATTTTACCTGTCACACCTTTTCATACTATGCCTTGCATATATTAAGCCCTCAACAGATTTTTGCTAAATTCTAAAACATTTTAATTGTCTTGTTACAGAACCTCGTCTGGATCACCCGGTGAAGAATCTAGCGGCACTCGGAGTTCTTGGAAGTCAGGAGGTTTATTCTACACTGGCGGGGCCCAGAGGAGATCGCTCTCTAGAGATCTGAGCCCCAGAACGTAAGCAGAGGGAATAATTTATAGGCTGTTACTTCCGCATTCCGCATTAGCGTCAAGCGTCAAGCGTCAAGCGTCAAGCGTCAAGCGGGGCAGGAAGAGGAACCCGGAAGGGGACTCTTCCCTCAGGGACTGGAATTTCCCTATCAGTCCTGTCGGCCATCTTATAACAGGTTTTTCCTCTCAGTCTAACACCGATATCGTATGAATTTGTCCAATCTATAAGAGCTTTCAGAATAAACATAAATTGTTAAAGAAAATTAACTTGAGATTTAAAGATTTGTTTTGATGCAAAGCAGTACGTTTTTATGGTTGATGAAAAGGATTGCTTCCCTTTTAAATATACTAACAGATGTCTGCTCAGTAAATAGGTTAAGGACTGGCTGAGACATATCACCTCTTCCTTGAACTGATTTTTTTTAGTGCTTTTAATCTTCCAAAGGCATATAAATTGAATGAAAGAAAAGCCAATGAAAATGAAATAAATTCTTTATTTTAGTCAGGTGCTCAGACAGGCCACCATCTGGGATGCTTTAAGGAATCTAAAATGTAAAAGTAGCAACGCACTTATCATTTACTTTGTCAGTCACAGTTAGTCTTATCCCTCACAGAAAGGTTTCCGGTGGGAACCGGAAGTAATTGCTCTCCACCACCATGCCTAGGCTTCCACGATTTATTTGCAGACAAACCTGCCCCACAGTGCTGTTGTTGGGAACATGGGCCCTAGAGTTAGGCTGGTTGGCGTGGGTCCTGGCTCCTCCGCCGACTTGTCTGTATTCTTCTGTAAAGCAGGGATGATCATAGTACCTACCTTTGAGATTTATAGGGTTCAATTTATAGAGTTAATATTTGTCACATAAAAATTCCTTCTGTCACCCTGTTCTCTTAGAGTGTTAAACATCGTACTACAGAACGCCTCCTTTCATTGTCCCTGGCTTTGGGTGCCCCCCGTAATACTCAAGAAGCAGCCTTCACGACCAAGCGAAGCACTGAGGCAAAGCCTTTATCTGAATGCATCAAAGCAAATGGCACTAATGCCAGGGTTGTGCCAGAGGAGGACTTTAGCCTCTCAAACAAATCTTGCCTCTATATTTTCTCTGTGCGTGGACCTAATTCCACTAATGAATATCACATCCGGGATCATAATATTGCTGGAGGGAAACCATAGTTTATCACTGCAAGTGCCTAAAACCACCAGCCACGCACACTTGATAGATTTCCTCACAAACACTGCTTAGAAAAGGATTGGAGTAGGGGCTCTTGGGTGGCTCAGTCGGTGAAGCGTCCTAGTTCGGCTCAGGTCATGATATCATGGTTTGTGGGTTTGAGCCCGGTGTCAGGCTCTGTGCTGACAGCTAGCTCAGAGCCTGGAGCCTGCTTCAGATTCTGTATCTCCCTCTCTCTCTGACCCTCCCCTGCTCATGCGGTCTCTGTCTCTCAGAAATTAAAAACAAAAACAAAAACAAAAAAACTCAAAAAAAAAAAAAGGAAAAAAGAAAAGGATTGGAGTATATTTCTAGATAATTCAGTGACATTTTTTTCTGCACTACCTGAAATGGTGGATCCAACCACCTGCCTAGAATTTTTGCTACTTGGGGTCCCCTCAGGCACAAAGACTAAATTCAGACAGTTTCTATGGCAACTATCTGGGAAGCCAAGCACATCCTTAGC